AGTAACATTTGGGAAGACTGTAGCAGGTGTCCTAAAGGAACGGAAATTTGCATTTGATATACCAATATCTGCTGAGGACTGGGATAATTATTATCAATGTAGATTTGCTTCCACAGAACCTGCAGAGAAATTGTTTTTAAGTAGTGATTTAACAAACCTTAGAACTCCTCCCCCTTGGAGATATAATCCATCATTAAAAGCTTAAAGAGCAATAAATCCCAAGGTGAGGATTTTTTTATCAATGGAATTATTTAAGAAATTTCTTGGTGGGTGGGGTCCAATATTGGCAGGTCTTTTTATACATATAAATAACACCTGCCACATACCAGATGGGTAGAAGATGGCAATAGTTGTCCCCATATTAAAAAGGGAATAAAAATGATACTAGTAATTATAGGTCCATCGGTGTGATTGACATTGTAGCAAAAATATATGCTAGGTTCCTTTTGAATAGAATTGAAATCTGGGTGGAGGAAAACCATATCCTCGCAGAAGAACAAGCAGGTTTTAGACAAAGGCCATCTACTGTTGACAACTGCTTTGTCTTAAGCCATCTAATTGCCAAATATACTTAAAGGGGAGGTCCCTGTTTGTTGCTTTTATAGAGAAAGAAGCATTTGATATGGTAAACAGAGAAGTACTATGAAGTAAACTGACATCTCTTAAACTAGAACCTAGACTGCTGGCTTTGATTAAAACCCCTTTATACAAATACCTGTTTGAAGGTGCAGTATGAAGTTAATGAGGCTCTGACTAACAGGATTCAGGCAAATAAAGGGATAAGGCAAGGGTGTACCCTGGACCCATTATTATTTAGTTTATATATCAACGGCTTGCCAGAGTTAATGAAGGATCCCATGGTACATATGCCAATGATCCTAAATACATACTGTAACAATTTGCTCTATGATGATATGATTTTATTATCATATTCACAAGTAGGATTGTGTAGGCTATTAAGATTCAGCTCCTATTGCCAGGATAACTCCCTAATGATTAATAAATCTAAATAAAAAATTATGCTGTTTGGAAAACATCATCAGGGACATAGATGGCAATTAGACAATAAACCAATTGAACAGTTAATACATTTGTATATTTAGGCATAACTTTTTCCAAGACTGGATCTTGGGCTTGTCATCATCAATGGAGTACACTTAGAGCAAAAGCTTGTTTGAATATGTTGCTTAAATTAAAGAATCATAGTTACTCAGGGTCCTCAGCCCCATGAACTAAAGTATATAAAGCTAAGGTTATCCCTATGCCCCTATGGAGCAGATGTTTGGGGTCTATATTCTATATTCAACTACAGTACTAGAACAAACACAGTCCCAGCATTTGCTATGTATTTTGGGTATAGATCTAAGAACATCTGCTGCAGCAGTTAGAGATGAATTGGGAATTCATACAATTCATGCACTATCCAAAATTAGAGTACATAACTACTGGCACAAAGTCAATGAAATGGAGACTGATAGACTCCCCAAGTTAAGTCTACTAGAACAAATAAAATCATAGTCACAATAATCATCCTGGATCACCAAACTAACAAATTTTGTAAGTAGCTGTGGCCTTCTTGTCTCTTCTGTAACAGGAAAACAATTTTAAAAAAGAGCTACCCCAAAAATTAAGGAAATAGAAGCACAAAATGATATAGCTATCCTTAGTAAGGTGGGTAACTTGAAATGTCTGAGCAAATACAAACATACTTTTGAAATAGACAGTTATTTGAAGTTACAACTGCCAAAACATCTTAGGGAGATATTTATGCAAGCGAGATTTGAACAGCTTAACACAATGGTCAGATATGGGAGATTCCATTCTATACCCTATAATGGACATCTGTGCATTTGCAGAGTGGCAGAGGTAGAAGACCTGGCACATATCCTATTTGATTGTTCCCTGTATAAGAGGGTAAGAGACAGACAAAATTCCGGTTGCAAGGCTTTGGTGGCAGCAGGAATCCGCAACTCTGCGGGTCCCTGCTGCGCTCGCTGCTGAAGTACAGCTGATCCGATTGGATTTGGGGGTTGTCGTTACTCCAGAGGGGTAACAGAAGATAGAGGAGATCCAGATAGGGGTCTGGGAACATCGCAATCCCTTTCCCCAGCCAGCTAGATTCCTTTTTCCAGAGGCGGTGGAGCGGTGGTCAGTAATGGCCGCCACAAAGAAATCTACAACCGGACAAGATTGGTGCAGGTGGAAGAAGTAGAAAGTGAAAGTTTCGCTGGCTGAACCGGGACATTAAGACTTACTTAAATACCCTGGAAATCTGACTTTTTCAACGATACATTGTTTCCAAAGGAGGCTGTTGAGCGGCAAACGAAAGATCTAAAAGGGAAAGTTCACTCTCCTTCCTCACGGAGATAGCAAATGGACATTGAAAAACCCGCTTTTCTACAGAAGGTAAAAACCAAAAGCTCTTTGTTATAAGTGGGAAGGGGGAATTTTTTTTTTTTTAATTAAAACTTTGTTGGAGGAGACGCCTTGAAGATTATAAGAACAGAAATTAATTGTAACAAGGCTTTAAAATACATTTTGAGACTTGTAATTAATACTGCCCCAGGAGGAGAAAGTGTAAGGGGAAGAAGATGAAATATTTCATGTCTGTTTGGATTGCTTGATGACTTTGGAACGTTTGGAAATTATTCTAAAAACATTTGGGTTGTTTTTAAAAAGAAAGAAAAATGGCATTATCTGTGGATGAATTAAAAATGGAATTTGAAAAATTAAAGGAAGAAGGACAAGAAGGCAAGGGCTCTCTGGAAGCTACCCTCCACTTTTTAGAAATGGCGATTTCTACCTACCAGCAAATACAACAACAAGATGTTTGGGAGGAAGAGGAGGAGGAGGAGGAGGAGGAGGAGGAGGAGGAGGAGGAGGAGGAGGAGGAAGAAGAAGAAGAAGAAGAAGAAGAAGAAGAAGAAGAAGAAGAAGAAGAAGAAGAAGAAGAAGAAGAAGAAGAAGAAGAAGCCGCCATCTTTTATGGACAAAACATTTTAATTAAGAAAGAAAATAAGAGGGGAAGGAAAATGGAGAATTTAAAACTTAAGAAAACAACCAAGAAAGAGAAAAACAAGGTGAAAAATCCATATAATCTCAGAAAGCAACAGAAAAGAGGAATACAACAGAGAGGGGAAGTTAAAAAGGCGAAGGTTAGGAGATGGGGGGGTAAAATGGCTAGACCGGAAAAGAAAGGAAGGGAAAAAAATCCACAAAGGCTTGAAACAAGATGCAAAAAAGCAGATTTTTTTCAGAGATAAAGGGTAAAGTATAATTATAAAAAAAAAGATTCTGCAAAAGTACACAAGATAGTATTGTAGTATTTGTATCTGAAATAGTAAATTGGAATATTATAAGATTTAAAAATATTTAAACATTAAAATGCTTAGTAATGATAGATTTTAACATTTAACAAAATTTAAGGGAATGTGTAAAATGTTTAAGGTTTGGCTATAGAGTTTATTTTGCTATTGTCTAAATGTTATTATAAATCTATTACTTTGTTTTCCCACTTATAATAATGTATTAAGAAGAATTTGAATGGAAATTATATAGTTAATTATATTATAAACTTATTATTTTCTTATATTAAAATGTAACATGTAGAATGTACTATGCAGAATCAGAATGGAAATTATGCATTATTTAAATTGTCAAATTTAGGGGAAAGATAGAAAGGCGCCATACTTCAATTAGTGATTCCAGGGGAAATTTTTTGTTAAAGAGAAGAGATAAATGGATAATTGAAAAAGAACGGACAAAAAATACAAGTATAATGATCTAAATTAAGATTAAATAAACAAAATATAATTAAGAGAATGAAAAGAGGGGAGAAGTTTATATAGAAAATATAGAATGGTAAATAAGATAAGTAATGGTATATAAGGTGAGCATGAATTTGATTTAGGTCTATTAAAAAAAGATGTAACCCGGGGATAGGCCACTTTCCAAAAGGATGTTTTATGCTTTACGTTTTGTGTTTTGGGCATCTATGTTTGACTGAGAATTAATAACGCCTAGGAGGAATATCACTAAAGGGAGAAATAACGAGATGGAAAAGATATGTATGTGCTTAAAGGATAATTTGGAACTATGTTGTATAAAACAATGTTTATTTGTTTTCTCAAAACTTATATGTAGTTTTCAGAAAGGAGGTTTTATGTTTCTGTTTTATGTTTTGTTGGTCTTTGAAAACTAAATAATGAAATTGTAAATAGGGCAGATGGATACAATGAAAATATATAATTCAAGTTAAAAGAAATATAATTGAATAGAAGGAAAGGAATAAAGAGAAGTTGGGAAAATATATTAAGTTGAACAGATAAGATAAATATATATATTAAATTGCGCTGTATGGAAATATGGAAATTTGGAATTACTTGGTTTTTAAATAAGATGCCTTATTTGCTTTTCCAGAAAAGATCTTTTACGTTCCTATATTCTATGTTTTGTTTGTTTGTGTATTGGTTTCAAAAATTAATAAAACTTTTTTTTTTTAAAGAAGGTAAGAGACAGGTACCTTGGTCTATATACCAAACAAATAACCCATTGGGATCCCCATATCAAAACAACTTACCTAATATGCGGTCAGAATCTTAAAATAACATTTATCACAACACAAGAAAAAAGGTTCGATTGAGATTGGCATATCTGGGACTGATTGGGGTAGATTATAGGGGTGATACCGAAATATATCCTATTTTATTTATCTATATATTAAATTATTGTATTTTATTCCAATTTCATTTTAAACCATATTTTATTCTAATTTCATTTTAAATTGTGTTGTATCCAATTCCATTTAAATTGTTTTTATCAGATTTTAGTAAAAATTTGTGTCTGGAACTCTGCACTTTGATATGGCCCAAGGACTAATCAATAAAGTAAAATGAAAGTTTTAGGAATGATTGGTTGCCAAGATTAAGGTAGTCAAGAAATTATATGTAACATGTAAATTAGATATATAAAATATAAGAAATATTTAAACCTTGACTTACCTCTGCCAACACTACAATTATGATAAGTTCAGATTTTGAATCTGGGAAGAGAGCATTTACTTGTGGTGACATGCCAATTAGGATACAGTTTGTAATAACTGAGATTACAGTCATAGTTTGAAAAGCCATCTAAAAGAAACAAGGAAAAATGTATTTACTACAATCACATGTTCTGATACTCTTCTGTTTAATATTCATTCATACCTACAAATGGATAAGAATCTGCATAATTTCAACAATGATACACTTATATTGTTTTTGTTACTTTGATTGCCATCTGGCTGTTCTATGCAATTTGAAGTGATGATTATAATCTATAAAGCCTAAGTGACTTCTGGCCACATTAGCTGAAGAACCATTTTCTTCATGAGGAATTTATTTCCCTTGTTTAATTGACCAGAGAGAATGTTCTGGATTCCTCTTCCCTGGCAGATTCCTAGGTTTATTCAATGATACCCCACATTCTTTGAAATATTTCCCCCCCACACACATACACAACATCTGTAGGGATCTCAGTCTTATTTTTCCATAATGCTACGAAGATCTGACTCATTCGTAGAGCATCTGAAATCTGAAATCATGCCATGTTTTTTTTAATGTTGATTAATTTGCAACTTTTTCTTGCTCTTAATTACAGTGTTGTTGTTTTTTCATTAAAGCATCTGCTTCCTGGCTTCTTTGCTGATGAGTGGGTGGGATCAAAATGTAATAGGGAGAGACATTCTATTTTATAATATAAAGAATAAAGAATATAATAGAATAGAATAAAATCAGAGATATCCTATCTATGGGAACTGAGATCCAAGAGATTGGTTCAACTGAGAGCAACAACAAGGTGATTTGCTTATCTAATTTCTGTCTATCCTTTTATTTTTAAGTCTCCAGAATTTTTTAAAAGGGATGAGAAACTGCCCCAGCCCACTGCAATGAAATAATTATGTTAGTGGCTCTGTCTATGGCAGGGGGGGGCAAACTACGGCCCGCGGGCCACATCCGGCCCATTGGTCTTGTTAATCCGGCACGCTGGATTGGTCTGTAACCGCGGCCACTTTTCAGCTGCTTTCAGAGGCGTCGAGAGGAGGCGGTTGAGACAGAGGGCGGGCGGCGGAGAGCGAGCAGGGCGCCTGGTGGGCTTGTCAGGCGGAGCAGGAAAAGGGGGCAGGAGCCCGGCGGAGCGAAGAGAGCTGAAACCTGTTGAGGTCTCGCTGCAGTCCCTTCGCGGGGAGAGAAGCCACCGAGCCGGGAGGAGTGCAGGATGCTGCTGGCTTGCCTCCCTGTCCCTCCGTTGTGATTGCGGGAGAAGGATCCCCGAGCGCTGCCCTTGCGGCCGCCACTGATGGAGCCCCGCTTGATTTCACCTGAGCCACGTTTGATTTGGAAGGGGGCACGGGAAGCGGCACCAAAGGAGCGTTCTGGGGTTTGGCCAACCGCCCGCTGAGCAGCTCCGGGCTCCCCACCGCGGCTGGCAGACCTTGGGGCTGCGCTCCGGAACCCAGCACCATGGGACGGCGAAGCTGAGTGGCGGGAAGAGGCGCGTCGAAGCTGCAGAGGCCGGCTCAGATCTCTGGGTCCTGGGGAATCCCCGGGGACCAAGAGATCTGAGCCGGCCGCTGCAGCTTCGACGCGCCTCTTCCCGCTGCTCGGCTCAGGCGGAGCCCCAAGCACCGCCGGCGGCGAGAAGCATGAGAAGCGCAACGGGGCCACGGGAAGAGCTGCGCCCCAAGGAGCGACTGACGGCCAGAGCGGCCAGGACTGGCAGTGGTGGTGAGGGCCCGACCTGCGCGGGGGGGGCTGGGGTGGTTTTCTCCCACGCCTGGCTTCGGAGCAGCCCGCCGTGCGCTCTTGGGCATCTGGCTAACTGCGCCCTGGGCGTGCCTTTCCCTCGTCTCAGCCAGCAGCAGCAGCAGCAGCAGCTCCGCCACCGCCACCTCCTTCCTCCCCTAACGCCCACTGTTGTGATGCATATTCCCGTAGACCTGAGCACCAGCAGGCGCTTCACATCTCCCTCCACGGCCTTCCCCTGCGGTAAGATGGGAGAGAACAGCGGCGCCCTCAGCACGCCGGTGCCGGGACCTTGCAGCCAGACCGAGGCGTGCTTGGTAGTGGATGTCCTGGCTGGGCGGAGCGGGCAGGTCCTGGGAGAGACACGCAGATGTTTTCTGCTGAGTGGGCTTCCCAAGCACCCGGGAGGACTCGCAGTTTAACGGCAAAAGCAGCGGCAGGATAGGTGCTGGGCGGGCGGGGAGAAAGGCAAGCGAAAGCCCCCACACACACACACCTCGGCAAGCGGTTTGCAGGGTTAGCCAGCAGTTTCTCGCAAGAGACTGAAGGCCGGTCTGCTCCCCCCAATTAGACGTTGGTTCAAGAGGGTCAGCCCTGCTACTAATTGGTGGTTCACAGTTTATCCATGGGCACTGGAGGAGTTATGTTTTTGGGGGTGGACGTTTATTTATTTTTTATCTTATAAGTGGCCGACTTGTGTAAACTGAGGGGGTACATTCATACCTACCTACACACACACACACACACACACACACACAGAGTCGTTTATTTGTAGCGGAAGAATCTGTCTATCTATCTATCTATCTATCTATCTATCTATCTATCTATCTATCTATCTATAATGGCCTTTTATAAAATTGGTTCGGCCCTCGAACGCAGATCTGATTTTCCATGTGGCCCCCGACAGAAATTAATTGCCCACCCCTGGTCTATGGAGATTCTCAGTCATCCAAGTCTGGTTGTCCCAAAGGTGCCTTTTTTCAAAAGGCAACTGGACTTTCTGGTTTTTCTTTGACAATGTTTTGCTTCTCATTCAAGAAGCTTCTTCAGCTCTGATTGGATGTTGGAGAATGGAAAGATTTATATTCCTTCCAGACAACTGGGCATTTGCATTCTTTTAGAGTCATTGAGGCCATTTGGAGATTTATTTCTGTCCTCAGGGTCAACTGAGTAGTCCAAATAGTTAATCAATTATTAACCAATCCATTATTTTCCACTTAGAGACAAACAACCTACTCTCTAATAAACAATTTGGTTTCAGAAAAAAACTATCCTGCAATCTGCAACTGTTACACTGCAAAAAGATATGGACTACACAACTCGACCAGGGCAAAGCAATAGACGTAATCTATATAGACTTCTGTAAAGTCTTTGATTCAGTGGTACATGACGAACTATTAAAACTAAAATCTTATGGTATCTCTGGACACCTGCATAACTGGATAGAAGCATTCCTGTCAAACAGACAACAAATGGTCAAAATTGGAAACCTCCTATCAAATTCTGTACCTGTCAACAGTGGTGTCCCTCAAGGCAGTGTTCTAGGACCAACTCTCTTCATACTCTACATAAATGACCTCTGGGATCATATTAAGAGCAATTGCGTTCTCTTCGTTGATGATGTAAAGCACCACAGATAATTCTGCTACCCTTCAAAAAGACCTTGACTATGTATCAGAACGGTCAAACAAATGGCAACTTCAAATCTCAACAAATAAATACTCTGTCTCACATTTGGCAAAAAAAAAAAAATCAGAAAATAAAATACAAGCTGAATAATCAAGACCTTGTTGATGATCCAAACTCTGTCAAGGACCCTAATCATCTCTAATAATCTAAGTGCTAGAGAGCCCACTGTAACTACATAGCCAAAAAGGCACTAAGAGTTGTTAACCTAATCCTATGTAGCTTTTTCTCTGGTAATATCACACTACTAACTACAGCATACAAAACATTTGCTAGACCAATACTTGAATACAGCTCACATTACGTATCTGATATTAACAGAATAGAGAAAGTCCAGAAATATTTCATAAGAAGAATTCTCCACTCCTCTATTCATTGTAGAATAACTTATGCCACCAGACTGGAAATTGTAGACCTAGAAAACTTAGAACTACGCTGCCTTTGGTGTGATCTAAGTATAGTATATAAAATCATACATTGCAATGTCCTACCTTTCAATGAATACTTCAGCCTTAACCATAACAATACAAGAGCACACAATAGATACAAACTCAGGGTTAACCACACCAAACTTGATTGTAGGAAATACGACTTCAGCAACAGAGTGGTCAATGTCTGGAATACTCTACCTGACTCTGTGGTTTATTCCCCAAATCCCAAAAACTTTAATCTTAGACTGTCTACTATTGACCTCACCCCTTTCCTAAGAGGTCTGTAGGGAGCGTGCATAAGCGCACCAATGTGTCTACTGTACCTGTCCTATTGTTTCTTTTATTTTTCTTATATGTATCCATGTATTCATGACTATGTTTATAGTTATACCTATTATCTTGTAAGCAATTGACAAATCAAAAAAAATAGATGAGGAGCCTTCTTGAAACTGCTGAAAGGACTGTGTTTTAGACTGGAGACAGATGATGTCATATCAAAAACAACCACTTCATAAACACATGGCACAACATAGGAGAACAAACCCCTTCAGAACACGTTTCAGCTGACCATCTGCAATTAAAAAACAAAGGGCACTCTTTTGAAGACAGCGAAGTCCATATTTTGGACAGAGAGACCATTGGTTTGAAAGAAGGGTCAAAGATGCCATCTATGTCAAAACTGAACAGACCTCTCTCAAGAAAGGAGGAGGGATATGACAACATCTATCTCCAGTCTATACCACAGTCCTTTCAGCAGTTCCAAGAAGGCTCCAACCCATTTGCACCACTCAGGTAAACCTGAGCACATAGATAAACCTCCAAGTGACCTCAACAACTCTCTAAAAGAATGCAAATGACCAGCTGCCTGCAAGGAATATAAATACTTCCATTTCCCACCATCCAGTCAGACCTGAACAAGCTTCTTGGATAACAAGAAAGTCCAGTTACCTCTTAAAAAATATGTTACTGGCCATAGTTCCCCAGGTCTTTACTGCTAAAAAAAAAAAAAAAGGAGGGGGGAGAGTTAGCAATTTAGTTTGTAGGGAACAAAATGGTCAACCTTAACTTATATTTGATTTAATCTTCTCACTGCTAACTTATATTTGAGGTAATCTTCTCAATGCTAACAACATCTATAAAGTTTAAAAAGCATAATTATTTACATGAATTACATGAATTACCTGCCATACACCTATATTTGCAGCAGGCTCTGAAAATGGGCGTTTAAAAACACTGCACATTTTTAAGGCATCGGAATACATCTCAGTGATGTTGTTTAGCACAGCAAAAATAGCAGCCAAAGGGTAAACGCACGAAAAAAGGCTCACATAACCAAACTGTAAGAACAACTCCAAATAATCATCAAAAGTACCCTGAAAAGAAAGACAATATTTTATTAATATTTTTTAGATTAGAGGAACCTGGCAAATTTATGTACATGGCTAATTAATTGGAAAGATAAATGCGGAGCATAAATTTAAAATGATATTATCTATTCTAATTTATTGCTGTTTGAAGTCCAATTAGTCATATTATGTATTCATTTCACAGGAAACAAAAGTATCAAGAGATTGTTGCATGAAAGAATGTGTACATCTAATACTATGAGTCATCCAATTTGATAATTTTCTTCCCCAAAGTACAACTACATTCATCATATTTTTTATACTACATATATTACATTATTATCATTATTGTTAAACATAACGCTAAATTAAATACTCTTAAAGAGCTAATGACAAATATGGGCTGATCCCCAAAAGTTTTTCCATTAATGACAGCCATTGGGCCAACTCTTCCCGTTTGTGACCAAGGAAAAAAAAATGAAGAAACAAAAGGAAAACTGATAAATATTACAAATGGAACATTCATGACTGGATGCATTAGGGCATGTATCAAATTTTATTTGCTAGGTGTAGACAAGACCTGTACACTTACAAAAGCAGGTAAACTAGATGGAATTTTGGATTAAAATAGTGTAAATTATTATATTCTGACTGAATTCTCCTGGCATATCAAAATTCAAGTATTTTTATAATCTACAGTTCATAAAACAGACTAGCTTTAGGCACAATTAACACAAACATGGCCAAGCATTTTTAATAACATGTTTTAAAACAGAGATTGCCAAAATTACATATTTATGTAATTTTGGCAATCTGTGACTGAATAAACTTGGAATTAAATCTAGTAGGATTAGAAGAAAGGAGAGATAGCTTACCAAGTAAGTATCCATTCCTCTTTCCAGATTAACTTGTTCAAATAAAGACATGTCAGTATCTATCTGCAGTGCTTTCACCTTTTTCTCTACTGTTTTATTCCTTCTCTTTTGGAGCCAATAAGGCAGGGCAGCTTCCACAAACTGATTAAGGACTTGTGAAGTTATTAGTAAAGTTGCCAAGCTCTTTAAGAAAATTTAAAAACCAAATTAGAAAGTGCTTCAACATCTTTTATATGTGATTGATATTGTTTAGACAGATCAGACAAGATTCAGAAATAAAAGGTTTGAAAATAAAAAAAGAACATTATAAAGTACAAGCATTCATAGACAACTTAGTATTTATTTTAGAGGAACCTCTGGAAACGGGACCCAAATTAATAAAGAAAATAGAAGAGTTCAGTGAGGTGGCAGGATTAAAAATAAACAAGGAAAAGATTAAGATACTGACAAAGAATCTTACAAACAAGCAGAAAAATGAAATGATGGAAAAGATGGACATCCAGATAATTAAAAATGTTACATACCTGGGAATTTGGCTAACAGCAAGATGTACATCCATTAAAGAAGACAACTACACTAAATTAATACATCAAATAAAGATAGATTTGGAAAAATTGAGAAACCTACAGTTGTCGTAGGTTGGAAGGATAGCCACAATAAAAATGAATATTCTATCAAAACAGCTTTTCTTATTCCAAGTAATCCTGATAAAACTAGGAAAAAGGTTTTGTGAGGACTTAAATAAATCAATTTCAAAGTTCATCTGGCAAAGCAAAAAACCAAGAATCAAACTGAAAATGCTACAAAACACCAAAAATTGGGGTGGGGGGAGGAGAGTGTTGGACTACCAGACTGGGAGCTGTATTATCAGTCTTCAGTGCTCACATGGATGAAGGAGTGGATAAATTTGAAGAACAAAAAAATATTGATATTAGAAGAACATGACTTACAATTGGGGTGGCATGCATTTGTACGGTATGGGAAAAGTAAATTACATAGATACTTCCAAAGGCACTATATCAGGAATGCTCTGTTGTCAGTATGGGGAAAAAAAATCACTATATGAAAATACTGGTCTGGCTATCCATGATGGAAGTGCTAATATACCCTTTAGAATTGGAAAAAATTGTAAGGTACAAAATATTCTAAACAAACAGGGGGACTTAAAATCAAAACAGGAACTAAAAAATCAGGGAACTGACTGGTGGCCACATGTTCAAATACAAATGAGTCATAAGAAAGATGCAGAAATATATGGATTTTATAAGGAACCCCTAGAATTGGATCAGATATTGTTAGGGATAGATGACAAATTAACAAAGAAAAATTTATAATTATCTATTTAATTGCAAAATGGAAGAACATGTAAAAGAAACCATGATTGTATGGACCAAAAATTTCAGATATAACATAGAACTAGACAATTGGCAAAAACTGTAGGAAAGGAACTACAAATTAATGAAGTCAATATAGCATGCATAGAAAATCTGAAACAAAACATTCTATAGATGGCATTTGCCAACAGCGAGAATGGCAAACATGTTCCAAAAAATATCATCAGAGTACTGGAAATGCAAACAGGTACCGGGGTTCTATTACTATATGTGGTAGACTTGTCCAATGGCAAAAAAATATTGGTCAAAGATAAAAGGGTGGTTAGAAGAAATGACAGCACAACAAATAGATTCAAAACCAGAATTGTTCTTACTAGGTATACCATGGGGGAAATAAAACAAAATAATTATATACTTAATGCAACATGAACGAGAATCACACATGCACAAAACTGGAAAAATATACCTACAGATGAAAAGGTAATAAAGAAAATACTAGAATGAGCTGAAATGGACAGGTTAACGATGAAAATTAAGGATATAGAGGAAGAGTATTATTTAACATCGGATTTACTGTACAAATGGTTAGAAAACACTTTGGCAGAAAAACAAATCTAACTTCAAAAGCAAATACAAAAATTTATGCCACCAGATAATGACTGAATGCACCAATTATCACATTAAACAAAAGGAAAACCTTCTATGCACCAATTCCACCTGCGCTTTTTACAATTTTGTAAACAACAAACTAAAAGAGTCAAGATCCATCCCTGAAAGGACCTAATGGTAAAGACTGCAACATCATTAAAGCCAACCTTTTAAACACATTCTTTGGATCAGTATTTGTAAAAAGCAATGGATCATGCCCAGTATTTCCTAGTCGAACCACTGACAACTACAATGATCTAATACATATCGATTTTACAGAAGACAATATTGAAAAAGCACTATACAATCTAAAACCGTCTCTATCTATTGCACCGGACGGAATATGTGCCTACTTCTTAAAAAAGCTACCCACTGCCGTAGCTGAACCTCTAAGCATAATCTTCGAAAAATCCTTCTGGACCAGCTCCTTGCTAAACCTATGGTCACTGGCCACGGTCATCCCCATCTTCAAAAAGGGAGACCCCAGCCTAGTTGAAAATTACAGACCAATCTCTTTATGCTGCGTCACCTGTAAAGTCATGGAATCAATTATTAACCAATCCATCATCCTCCACTTAGAGACAAACAACCTACTCTCTAACAAACAATTTGGTTTCAGAAAAAAACTATCCTGTAATCTGCAACTGTTACACTGCAAAAACATATGGACTACACAACTCGATCAGGGCAAAGCAATAGACTCAATTTACATAGACTTCTGTAAAGCCTTTGATCCAGTGGTACACAACAAACTACTCCTAAAACTAAAATCCTATGGTATCTCTGGACACCTGCATAACTGGATAGAGGCATTCCTGTCAAACAGACAACAAATGGTCAAAATTGGAAACCTCCTATCAAATTCTGTAACTGTCAACAGTGGTGTCCCCCAAGGCAGTGGTCTAGGACCAACTCTCTTCATACTCTACATAAATGACCTCTGGGATCATATTAAGAGGAACTGCATTCTCTTCGCTGATTATGTAAAGCTATTCAACACCACTGACAATACTGCTACTCTTTAAAAAGACCTTGACTATGCATCAGAATGGTCAAACAAATGGCAACTTCAAATCTCAACAAATAAATGCTCTGTCTTACATATTGGCAAAAAAAATCAGAAAATAAAATACAAGCTGAATAATCAAGACCTTGTTGATGATCCAAACTCTGTCAAGGACCCTAATCAACTCTAATGAACTAAGTGCTAGAGCCCACTGTAACTACATAGCCAAAAAGGCATTAAGAGTTGTTAACCTAATCCTGAGTATCTTTTTCTCTGATAATATCACACTACTAACTACAGTATACAAAACATTTGCTAGACCAATACTTGAATACAGCTCATTAGTCTGGAACCACATTACGTATCTGATATTAACACAGTTGAAAAAGCCCAGAAATATTTAACAAGAAGAGTTATTCGCTCCTCTACTCATTGTAGAATACCTTATGCCACCAGACTGGAAATTCTAGACCTAGAAAACCTAGAACTACGCCGCCTTCGGTCCGATCTAAGTATAGTATATAAAATCATACACTGCAATGTCCTACCTGTCAATGAATACTTCAGCTTCAACCATAACAATACAAGAGCACACAATAGGTACAAACTCAAGGTAAGCTGCACCAAACTTGATTGCAGGAAATACAACTTCAGCAACCGAGTGGTCAATGTCTGGAATACTCTACCTGACTCTGTGGTTTCTTCCCAAACCCCCAAAACTTTAACCTTAGACTGTTAACCTCACCCCTTTCCTAAGAGATCTGTAAGGGGTGTGCATAAGCCTGTCCTATTGTTTCTTTTTATTTTTCTTATATGTATCCATAAGTATGTTTATACTTATACCTGTTATCTTGACAAAATAAATAAATAGAAGTTAGTAACGTTATAATTAAAGATGATTAAGAAAATAGAAGTAAATACATATATAGAGAGAGATATAAGCACACACACTATAAGCAAGATTACCACTGGCCTATATTTGACTATAGATTAAAGTGGTATAATTATTAGAATAATGGTTATAATTACAGTGTATAGTATTATGTATACATTCAAAAGAGATTATATTGTATAACTATGAGAACAATGGTTATAACCAGGATCTATAATAGTATGCATTTCCAAAAGAGACTTGAAACAGACAGTACACGCTTTTTGCAGAAATGGAAATGTGAAAGAAAATGTATAATTAAAAAAATAAATCAAAAAGATATTGTTTTTCCATTGCTTCTAAAGTGTTGTTAACAGTCAAGCAGTCATATGTATTGATTTAATAAACAAACAGATCTTTAGCAATGATATTATATTTAAAACAAGTGAAAGGATCAAGTAATTCCAGCAAATGGTGCTGATATAAACATTTAATAATATATTGAATTAATCCAGATTTTTGTATTGAGGTCAATATCAGAGATGTGTGTAGCAATAATAATATAAATAACTCATTTGCAGTCATGGTGTCAATTACCTTTCATGAGCTGTACTGAATTAATGACCTCACCCCTTTCCTAAGAGGTCTGTAGGGGGCGTGCATAAGCGCACCAACGTGCCTAGTGTCCCTGTCCTATTGTTTCTTTTATTTTTTATTTTTCTTATATGTATACATGTATTCATAACTATATTTTTACTTATACCTATTCTCTTGTAAACAATTGACAAAAATAAAAATAAAATAAATAAAAGATAATAATGCCTCAAGTTTATATATTATTACTGTAAAATTTTCTTGTAAACAGGTTATTTTGAATTCCATTACCACACTTTCACTGCTTCTCCCCCATTCATGACACTTCTGAAGTCTATGATGTGCATATATTTTAAATTTTTATATTTTATGAAGGCATTGAACCCTGTATATGTTCTGTATGCACATTAATGTACTATGACAGATATGACCTTAGCAAATCTTAATTTACAAACAGGATTGCTGGCAAAACTGTGTATTTTCATGGAACATTGTTTAGTAAATAAAGAGCAGTCTTATAAATTTGATACAAGCAAACACATACTAAAACAATCTTTATAACAGGGGTGTCAAACTCAAGGCCCAGGGGCCAGATTCGGCCTGTATGGTTCTTAGGTCTGGCATGTGGGGCCACCCTAGAAATAGCAAAGGACTGGCCTGTGGTGCCTCTGCCAGTGAAAACGGAGCTTGTGAGGCCGCACATGGCCTTCCTGAGCTCCATTTTTGCTGGCAGGGGGTTTCAGGAAGCCATCCCAATCAAAAACAGAGCTCGCAGGGCCACGTGTACCCCCCGAGCTCAATTTTTGCTGGCAAAAGGTTGAAGGAGGCCGTCGCAACTGAAAACAGTGCTCAGGAGCCCGTTTTTGCTGGCAGAGCGCACAGGCCACTACAGGCACTCCCCAACAGAAGTAATGTCATACTGGCCACACCCACCCCAGCCCCCCAAGTTTAAACACAACCCTGATGAGCCCCTCAATGAAATCGAGTTTGACATTCCTGCTTTATAACAACACACTTCAATAATTCTTTCTGTTAGCAAATAAATCAGTGCAAGAGTTAATATAAGATTTTTTTTTATGACAGGAAAATTGTTCTTAACCCAAACCATTCAAGATTGAACAATAGTTTGAACAAGTTTGATATAAATTAAGTACAAACATAGAGTAATCAAGTAACAGAAAAAATATACAGCTTCAATTAATTTATGAAGAAAATCAAGTAAGTTGCTTTTTAAAAATATTTTATACACAAATTACCTGTCTCAGAAGTTTCATATCAACTAAGATAAATGCAATGTAGAATAATGAGGCAAAACAGTTTAGGAAGTTGAACTGCAAAAAAATAGAAAATAAAAAGGGCATTCTATCAGTATATCCAGAAAGAGTAATGTATGATTCATATGGCATAGCCAATACACACAAAAACCCCTGTGTATAATTGATTTTAACCAGTTGTAGAAAAATCTTTGTATGAACTAGAGGTGGTTCCCTAGATTTTCAATGCTATTCCAATTAAGTAGCTACAATCCAGATTATATGCTAAAATCTATGCTATTATTATTTTTAATTAACTTTTAATGTTTATGCCTTTTCTTCTATCCAAAAGATGAAATCTGAATTTAAAATAAGACCCTCAAAATGTTCAATGCCCCATTTTGTCAAACTAGAATAGTAAATTCCAATTATAATTTGAGAGATTCTTCCCTCCACTAAATAAATGCACACATGTAATATATATATATAAACAACATTCCAAAAAATTATAATCAGGACAAAATAAATTGGATTATCTCTGAATAACATTAATTGCTTATTACCGATGTTTCCCTGAAAATAAGACCCAGTCCTTTTTTGGGGAGCGGGGGGAGTTGAAAATAAGCGCTCGGGCTTATTTTCAGAGAGGTGTTATTTGAAAACAAACATGTACATTTTATACATAATAAAACCTTACAAATAAAAAATACCTTTATATCATAGATTTAATCTTTCAGAACTCAGCTACATAGAATCAATTTTTATTCATAAAAAAGCAAAATGACAAAATTAGAAATCCATTAGCTCTGTAATCTTTTACTGCACTATGTGGAACAGTTTTTAGTTGATGGGAAAGCAAAGATTTGCCCCCAAATAATTATCTGAAAGTTGATCTTTGGTGGTCAACTCATAAGCATTTATTTTGATTCTATATAATAATTGTTCCTGAAAAATAAACTAGCTTTCAATTTTTACTCAACATTACTCTTCCTAATAAGAATTGGTATAGAAAAATATATAAATGAAAGATTATTTTCCAGTACTGTGTTATTAGTTTTTTAACAAATTATATAGACCTGGAAAATAATCTTTCATTATCAGCTGTATAAATTTTTTAGTTGTAACAATGAATTACCGTATATACTTGAGTATAAGCCGAGTTTTTCAGCACATTTTTTGTGCTGAAAAAAACCCCCTCGGCTTATACTCGAGTCAGATTCCCTCTGAAAAAAAATGGTGTGGAGCTCCGGAGCTGGGCAGCTGCTTCCCTGCTTCCGTGTTTCTTTTGCAACTTGTAAGCATGAGGGTAATCGGAACCAGAAAAGTTCTTGCATGAGGATGTATTGTTTTTTCTTTATTTAACTGTTTTTAGGGGGGGGGAAGTCCCACCATCATGTGAGAATGCTCAGACACAAAATCTATCCGCCTGAAAATAAGTGTGTGTGTGTGGGGGGGGGATTTTAACAGAGGGAAGACATAGGGAGAAGGCAAAAGCGACAGAAGATCCTTCAGGGGAAACTGAGAGGGAGAAAACAACGTGAGCCGCTGCCGCCACCTCCTCCTCCCCCTCCTCCTCCCAAGTGGACTGAAAGCAGCTAGGGCTGAGGAAACAAAGCCACCTAGGCTCACGTTGTTTTCTGCGATCACGAGCCTAGAGCCAGAAAACAACGCGAGCCGCTGCCACCACCTCCTCCTCCCCTTCCTCCTCCCGAGCGGACTGAAAGCAGCTAGGGCTGAGGAAACGAAGCCACCTCGGCTCACGTTGTTTTCTGAGCCTAGAGCCAGGGCGCTTTCATTGCACGGCGGAGCTTGTTTCAGGAAACACCGGGCGTCGTTGCTGCCCCCTGAGGGGAAGGCGATTCTGGGCTGCACGACTGGGGGACTTCGTGGCTTTGGGTGGGTGGGTGGGTGGGAGCGAGGACAGACGGAGTCCGCGAAGCGGGGCTTGCCTGCCCTTGCTGGCTGCCTCTGCTTCCTTAGGGGCGGGGAAGGGGGCTCATCTGGACCAAGGGTGAGTCTCCCCATCAGTTTCCCCTGAAGGATCTTCCGTCGCTTTTGCCTTCTCCCTATGTCTTCCCTCTGTTAAAATCCCCCCCACACACACACACTTATTTTCAGGCGGATAGATTTCGTGTCTGAGCATTCTCACATGACGGTGGGTCTTTCCCCCCCCTAAAAACAGTTAAATAAAGAAAAAACAATACATCCTCATGCAAGAACTTTTCTGCTTCCGATTACCCCCATGCTTACAAGTTGCAAAGGAAACACGGAAGCAGGGAAGCGGCTGCCCAGCTCCGGAGCTCCACACCATTTTTTTTTTCAGAGGGAATCTCACTTGAGTATAAGCCGAGGGGGGTTTTTTCAGCACACAAAATGTGCTGAAAAACTCGGCTTATACTCGAGTCAATAAGTTTTCCCAGTTTTTGGTGGCAAAATTAGGTGCCTTGGCTTATATTCGGGTCGACTTATACTCCATTATATACGGTAAGTATAGTTCAGTATAGTTTTTAGGTTCTCTTTAAAATATTAATTAGTATCATAAAAGTAACTTTTTATTCTAACTATATCAACATACAATTTGAACTGCAATTTTCAAAATATATAACAGATAATGGAAGATTTTAGAGTTTACATTTCCTAAATGTGAAATCTCTGGTGTTCATATTATTAGATCCCACCCTTTTAACAGTTAAGTAACAATATCAGGAGAGGTACTCCATCTTAAGAGAACACTTGAAGAAAACCCATTGCAACTCCTAACCTACAACATAAGTGATCCCATGACAATCTAACTTTCTCACTGCAATTTTATGATTATGAATCTGGCAGTTTCTCTGAGCCTAGCAGAAGTTACTTGAAAATAATAAGCTTAAAAAAATTCTGTTAGGTATTAGATAAAAGACACAGGCCTTTGGAAAGTGTGTAGTTAAACAGTACCAACCCAGAACCCAATATTGAACCTCTCTGGCACTTTTGCAGATTCACAGGATACTCATAGCCTTAGTTGCAATATCTCATCCCTTTATATGTCATACAAGCAGAGAAGCTCACATTTTCCACTGTAGCTTTTGAAGAAGGCTAAGTGTGGCTAAAAAGGAAATTAAAATTTGCAATTGTGCCCTACATCTACATCAGGAATAAAGAATCTGCAGTTTGTGGGTTGCAGGTGACCCTGGACAGCTAGTAACGTGGCCTGACAAGATAGTAAATGTTTAACATTATGTGATAATGTATATAAATCACATAATGTTAAACATTTAAATTATATATTATATAAACTAAATTATATATTTTATATGTTATCCAAGACAATTCCTTTTCACTCAACGGAGCCCAGTCAAGTCAAAAGGTTGGATACCCATGATCTATACAGAAGTTCCTTTCTGACCAAAAACATCAATCTCTAGAATCAAACTCATTTCAGTGGCTTTCTGCAGAGATATTACAAATCATAAGCAAAATGCGTCAATTATACCTACCACCAAGACTTTCAAAATTAAGTGATTCTGATATGAAGACTCCAATCTATGGTTTTCTGAAATTTAATTAAAATTGCAATTAATGGAAATATTAGTTACTATTTATGATAAGAGAAATATTTTGTCTTCAAATGAAGGTAAGAATGAATGCAAAAATGACAAGTATGAGAAACTGCAGAATGTATATTTTAAAATACAATATTTATATCATATGTGTACAGTAGAACCTCTAGTCACTAACCATAATTCATTCCATAACTTTGGCGATTTCTTAGTTTTCTAATGTTTCATCCTCAGGAATTTCTGGGTCAGGAGTCGTGTTTGATCGCCACCCGAGTATGCGTTCGTGACCAGATTCAAAAATTTTGTGAATTTTTTGGTCGGAACCCGATTAGGTCATGGTCAGGAGCGTTTGTGACCACAGGTTTACTGTACTTGATTGCACTAATACAACTTGATTACAGCAAGACAAAAACATGAAAATAAAATAGTACAACTAAATACAGTAAAAGTTACTATAATCTATCAAAATAAGGAGGCGAGATTTCCTTTTTCACTCAGGTTTTCTATTCATATTACTTTGAGGTTTACAACTTTACAGTATGCATTAAATGTTTAAACAAAGCATTAAAAACATTACATTCAAAGTTAACATCTCTTTTTTACTGAGGCTGTCAATTATTAGAGTGTTAGTAATCTGACTTTTATTCAAGTCAAAGTCTTAATTAAGGAATCTTTCTGAGAATATTGAAACAATAATTGTTTCCTAATAAAGAAATAATAATAATAATAATAATAATAATAATAATAATAATAATAATAATAATAATCTTCTTCTTCTTCTTCTTCTTCTTCTTCTTCTTCTTCTTCTTCTTCCCCCTTCTCCTTCCTTCTTCAATCTTTAGTGAGATTCACAGCCTTTGGGGCTAGTTGGTAGCTCAACAGCTCAAGTCCTAACCAAGGACCTAGGGGCTGTTCAGGTAGCATTGGAGGATATAAGCTGTTCCAAGTGGGGTGTTTTTTGTAAAATCGGGGTATTCAAGTCTGATAAATTTAGGATTTCCAAATAGCAAGGCAGCCCTTTAGGTATTGCTCCAAGGGCTCCAATTATATTATTATTGTTGTTGTTGTTTTAAACATCAGACTGCCTAGATTTTTAGAAGATGCATTATCAACTTCAATAATCTAGAGTCCATACAACTATACTGGGTGTACAATTATTAGGCAAATGTATATTGACTATAACATCATTTTTATGTATTTTTTTCACCTCCAAGCTGTATAAACTTGAATGCTTAGTGAACATAAGCATATCACGTGATGTGTATTTGTGTAATGAGGGAGGGTGTGCCCTAAGGAGATCAATGCCCTATATTAAGGTGTGTGTTATTATTAGGCAGTTTCTTTTCCTCGGGCAACATGGGCCAAACAAGAGAGTTATTGACTTTGAAAAGTCAAAAATTGTAAAATCTTTCAGAGGCATGGAGCCCCCTTGAAATTGCTAAGATATTTGGGCGTGATCACAGAACCAAACGTTTTGTTGCAAATACTTAGTCAATAAGGTCTTAAGAAATATGTTGTCATGCCCCCGTCAGCCTGAATCTGCGGGGGAAGATGAGATGGAACAAGAACTGACAGAGTGTGAGAGGGCAGCTCCGCTGACTTTGGAAGAAACTGGGTCCAGGCTTTTTGGAATTAGTAAGGCCTGCAGGCAGGATGGAACAGAGCTCAGACAAGGAGCAACAACCATCCCCTACTGATGCAAGGGCTTGGAGAGTGCAGAGAAGGTGGGATCAGATGAGATGGAGCAGGCCACTCACGAGGCGAGTGCCCTGCCTAGCTTCACCAGGCACACCTGGGGTATGACACTTAAGGAGATGCTGCGGTTGGGGGCATCTGTCAGTAACAAATGCTGAGTTCCTGAAGTGTTCTGTGCTGACGTTTTAAAGTGCCAAGAATCAAGTGGAATTATTCTATGTGGAATATTTTAGAGGGAAAGAAGAAAAGATAAGACGAGAGGAGGCAATAATTAGAATCCAAGAGGAATGTTTAGAACTAAGAGATAAAGAGGAAGATGCTGCAGGAGGCAGAATGGAAGCTAGAGCAGTAAATCTTTTGTGTAAAGTATAAAATATGGAAGAGAAAAAATTGATCAAAATTAATATAAATGGACTCAATATGGCTATCAAAAGAAGGAAAATATTTCACAAATTAGAAAAAATAAAATTAGATATAATCTGTCTACAAGAAGTACATATTAAAAAACAACATGAACAAATATTAATACAACCAAAACTTGGGAAAATATATACTTCATTGATGAAGCATAAGAAAAGGGAAGTGGTTTTATATATTAGAAATACTATTATACCTGAACAAATCTTTACAGATGAAGATGAAGAATTTTGATGGTGGAAATAATGGACAATAATGTTAAAACACTCTTAATAGCAATATATGCTCCCAATGGAGGCCAAGAAGAATTTTATAGAAAGTTGCACAAGAAAATAATTGAGCTGGACTATGATAATATATGCATTATGGGAGATTTCAAAGGAATAGTTGGTGTAAAATTAGACTATAATTCACAGAAAATAATTAAGCAAAGTAGAAAGATTCTTCCAAAATCCTTTTTTAAAATGACAGAGGAATTAAATTTAAAAGATGCCTGGAGAGAAAGAAATGGGAAAAACAGGCAATATACTTTCTATTCAAATAGACACTCATCTTGGTCAAGAATTGATATGGTATGTATGTCAACAGAATTAATCTCCAATATGCAAGAAATTGACATTGAAACAAGTATTTGGGCAGATCACAATCCAGTAAAAGTTATACGGAAAGGAAAAGATCTAGATGGACTTTAAACAATACTATACTGAAAGAAAAAGAATTTACACAAAAAATGGAGAAAGAATTTGCATCTTTTTTAAAGAAAACAGAACAGAAGACACCTCAGTTCAAAATCTTTGGGATACAATGAAAGCTTATGCTAGAGGACTGATAATAGATTACACAAGAAAAAGGAGCAAAAAAAAGACAATTGTTACAGACATTAGAGGAAGATCATAAGAGACTTGAGAAGGAATTACAGAAATATCCACAAAAAAAGCCATTAAAACTCAAATGGACATTATTAAACACAGAATGGGGTTAATGAAAAAAGAAGAACTGGCACAGAAAATTAGAAGTGTTAAACAGAATTTTTTTTGAAGATGCAAATAAACCAGGTAGATGGTTAGCATATAAATTAAAAAGAGAGAGAAAGATTCAAAAAAGATAATACAACTGATAGATGATAAAGGAAAGATCTGTCATAGAAATGAAGAGAAGAAAAAAATTATACAGGACTAATATGGTAAATTATATGATCAAGAAAAGGTAGAGGAGGAAAATATTAAGTATTATTTGGAAAAGGTGAAATTACCCCAGATACCCAAGTACATTGAAAAGACATTAAAAGGGGACATAATGATGATGGAGCTAACTGAGGCATTAAAAAAACAAAACCATGGAAAGGCACCAGATGGACTACCAGCTGAATTTTATAAGACTTTACAGGAATCTTTGAATCTCCCATTTCTGGAAGTGATGAATGAAGTCATATCAAAGACGAAAATACCTAATTCATGGTCAGAGGCTTACATTAGTCTTATACTGAAGGAGGATGCTGACCCACAACAAATCAAGAGTTACAGACATATCTCACTGCTGAACTCAGATTATAAAATCTTTGCTTCAATAATAGCAGAAAGACTTAAGATACTTGAACAATTGTATACACTCTGATCAAAATGGATTTCTGCTAGAGACAAATTAAAGATAATATGAGAATAATTCTGGACACTTTGGAATACTATGAGGCACATCCCGAGAAGCAAATGGCTTTAATATTTCTAGATGCACAAAAAGCCTTTGATAATGTGAATTGGCAATTTATATTACAATTGGAACAGATAGGCTTTCGTGGGAAATTTATTCAAGCCATTGAAGCCATATATGGAAGGCAATCAGCAAAGATAAACGGAGAATTAACAGAAAATATTGCTATTAAGAAAGGAACTAGGCAAGGTTGCTTGTTGTCACCTCTTTGGAAGTACTAAATAGAAATATTAGAGAAGTTAGGGAATATAAGAATATATAAGAATATAAGAATATAAATTACAAGCATTTGCAGATGATCTGGTTTTTATCTTGGAAGATCCATTAGAAACAGCGCCCAAATTAATAGAAAAAATTGAGGCATATGGATTGGTGGCAGGCTTGAAAATAAATAAAGATAAAATGAAGATTCTGACAAAGTATATACTTGAAAAAAGAAAGTTGGCTGATTTTGAAGATTCAGGTCACAAATAAAGTCAAATTTTGGGGGGAATATATTTAACAGCTAGATGTGGTACACTCAAAGAGGAGAACTGTTATAAACTCAAACAACAGACTGTGACAGACCTGGCAAAATGGGAAAATTTGCAATTATCTTTAATAGTGTCAGCTACTGGATTTTCCCCATTCAACCGAAAAGAATGAATTTCTGATCACTGGATGCTTCAAAAGGAATTCTTTATTGAAATGAGATGATTCCAGCAGGATTCAAAGCAAAGTCTAACGGCTCCCAGGCATGCAGTGGTAGATAAGGGAAGTTAGGCCCCCTCCCCTTACATTGATGTGTATTTTATCAAACAAAGACCCAACATGTTAATTCCCCCTCCTCTTCTTTGGGAACGATCTTTTGAAGAGTTTCTCATCTTCTGGAGCTGGAATCTTTATGGTCCCTTCTGCCATCCTTGTAGTCTCTTCAAGAGGTGATAGGTTTCTGGACATCTGGCCCCTAACCTTCAGTTTGTATATCATGGGTAGGTTATACAAATTCAATATAAGATTTAATATATTCAGGTTACATCAAAAAGGATTACTTATACCAACTTCCCTCCACCCTTCTTCTTCCATTGAAGAATGGCAGATACACGGATCTGACAAATAGGGAGAATATCTACAATTAAGATGAATACATTACGAAGGATTTTATACTTGTTCCAGACAATTCCAATTAAGTTAGGCAAAGATTATTTTGAAGATTTAAACAAAATAGTATTGAAATATATTTGACAGGGGAAAAAGGCGAGAATAAAATTAAAACTACTATCAGATTCTAGAACAAGAGGAGGTTTTAGCTTACCTAATTGGGAATTCTATTACCAGGCGACAACATTGATGTCGATTAAGGAATGGATAACGTTAAGGAATTCTAGATTATTGACATTAGAAAGCCATGATTTTCTGTTGGGATGGCATGCCTGCTTATGGTACAAAGGAATTAAAACACATGGGTATTTTAGGGGGCACTACATACGAGAGGCTTTACTATTAATATGGGAGAAAATTAAAAGATAATGTTATTTAAAAATACCAGTCTGGTTGTCAACTATTGAAGCATTTTCGCATCTAGTAATTTATAAAATGGAACAAACGGTTAGATATGGTGAAATTTTAAATGAAAAGGGTGGACTTTATGCAAGAACTAGAGGAACAAGAAATAAGGATGAATTGGTCTTCATAGGTGCAAATACAATGTAAATATAATAAAGACCTTAAAACAGAAGGTTTTTATGATAAATTAACTGAGTTGGATAAAATTTTGACAGGTACTGATGAAAAAATGATTACAAAATTATATGGACATTTATTAGAAATTAAATTAGATGAAGAACAAGTTAAAGAAACAACAATTGCTTGGGGAAAAATTGTTGGATATGGAATAGAGTTAGAAAAATGGTAAAAACTATGGTCTCAAAATTATAAAATGACAATGTCACCTGTATATAATAAAGAGAATTTATTTACAGGTGGCATTTACCCCCAGTAAGAATAGCAAGAGTGTTTAAGAACAAGATGGAGAAATGTTGGAAGTGTCATCAGATACCTGGGTCATATTATCATATGTGGTGGATATATACAGAGCCTAAAAGATATTGGACCAAAATCCACACATGGTTGGAAAAAATGACAAAAACACCACATAGATTTTAAACTAGAGATATTTTTATTGGGTATTATACCTGAAATATACAGTAGAGAATTGATATATTTGATTGTAAATATATTAACAGCGGCTAGAATTATATTTGCTAAAAATTGGAAAAATGAGAAAATTCCAATGTAAGAGGAAGTTATTAAGAAAATAATGGAGTGCGCAGAAATGAGTAAATGGACATTTGAAATTAGAGAGCGAGAAGATAAACAATTTTATAAGATATGGGGTTTACTTTATCAATGATTTGATAACAAAATAGGGAAATGAAATTATAATATTTTATAAGTATAATAGAATTGTAGAGATAAAGTAATGTAAGGATAAATCATTTTTTAATAGACTGGCAATGATGAAATGAATGTTATAAAGTAAGCTAAGTAAAAATGGGGATTTTCTTGCATAAAATGATGGGATGTTAGTAATAGTCTAATGAACAAATAATAATGATAATAATTTAAATATATATAGTCGATTTATAATATGAGGATTAATTTGAATTAGAAGGGAATGACTGTAAAGATTGTGCATAAAATATTTGTATCAACTGTATGTAAATTGAAAGATGGTTTTATGTTTTTTTGTTTGTCTAAAAAATAAAAAAACTTTTTAAAAAAGAAAGCGCCAAGAATCCTTGCATTCCTGTGTGGTATTCTGGACTGATTATCTGGATATTTTGCTTCCTGAACTCCTTGATTTGCTCATTTTGCCAAATACGTTTCGCATGCAGCCTTGGTGCAGACAGCGCTGGGCTAGACTAATTGCAATCAGAGGCTGCTTGAGGTTTGTGGGGAGAGTTTATCATCATCCTGCTCAGGGACTTGTCAGAAACGTGGGAGCGTTTAGAGGAGATTTGGAGCACAAAAGGGCCAGTCTGAACTGCTAGCTGTTTGTGTTATCTCTGAGCCGTGCCCTGGGATGACATGTTGAGAAAAAAAGATGTACATTAACTGCCAATGATTTGAGAAGAATCAAACGTGAAACTACCAGAGCCCATTATCCTCCACTGCTGTCATATTCCAGAACTGCAACCCACCTGGAGTGCCCAGAAGTACAAGGTGTTCAGTGCTCAGAGACATGGCCAAGGTAAGGAAGGCTAAAACCCGACCAGTACTAAACAAGACATGTAAGAGGAAACAGCAAGACTGGGCCAAGAAATATCTGAAGACAGATTTTTTCAAAGGTTTTATGGACTAATGACAGTGACTCTTTGATGGACCAGAGGGACTGTGGCTAGACCACTTCGACTCAGATGCCAGCCAGATGGAGAAGGTGTAATACTAACATGGGCTAGTATTATTAAAGATGAGCTAGTTGGACCTTTTCAAACTGAAGATGGACTCAAAATCAATTCCCAAATCTGCTGCCAGTTTTTAGAATACACTTTCTTCAAGCAATGATACAGAAAAAAGTCTGCATCTTTCAAGAATTACCATGATTTTTATGCCGGACAATGCTCCACTGCATGCATCGAAGTACTCCACTATGTGGCTAACCAGTAATGGCCTTAAAGACAAGAGAATAATGACATGGCCCCCTTCCTCATCTGGTCTAAACCCTATTGAGAGCTTGTGAGCCCCTCTTAAATGGAATATTTACAGTGAAGGAAAACAGTACACTTCTCTGTACAGTGAATAGGATGATTATCAACCAGAATGATTAGGGGACTGGAGACTAAAACATATGAAGAACGGTTACAGGAACTGGGCATGGCTAGTCTAATGAAGAGAAGGACCAGGGGAAACATGATAACAGTCTAACAATATTTGAGGGGCTGCCACAGAGGTCAAGCTATTTTCTAAAGCGCCTGTAGGCCAGGCAAGGAATAATGGATGGAAACCGAATAAGATAAGATTTAAGCTGGAAATAAGGAGAAACTTTCTGACAGTGAGAACAATCAACCAATGGAACAGCTTGCCCTTGGAAGTTGTGGGAGTGTCATCACTTGAGACTTTCAAGAAGAGATTGGACTGCCATTTGTCAGAAATGGTGTAGGGTCTCCTGCTCAGGCGGGTGTTGGACTAGATGACCTACAATGTCCCTTCCAACTCTGATTATCTGTTATCTGTTATCAGTGTCTGGCAGACTGTGGTTGCTGCTGCACAAAAAGTTGATTGTCAACAGATCAAGAAACTGACAGATCCCATGAAAAGAAGAGTGGCTGGTTTTTGTTTTGTTTTTTGAAATGTCAGAAATGTTTATTTATACACTTTGAGCTGTTTATTATTCTCACTTCAACAGTGCAGATAAGTGGTGGACAAATTTTCATTTTTCATTTAGTTGCCTAATAATTTTGCACACTAATAGTTGCCCAATAATTGTGCACACATAGAAATTCTCCTAAGAAAGCCAAAACTTTTACTTTCTTAAATATTCAAGTTTTAGATTTTTGCCTTTATCTTATTAAATTCAAAGTTATATTTTATTCCAAAATTTAAACAGACTCAGATTACTTTTACCTTGCCCAATCTAGAAAGATTAGAATGAAATAATAACTTGCCAAAGGCAGTTCACTTCATAACTTGAACTTCAGTTCTCTACCATTCTAGATTCAAAGTCTGCATCATCTGTTATATATACAAATCTATCCAAATTTTACTTTATAAACTAATTATTATAAAATAATAGAACTTTCATTTCTAGATAATAAAGGAGTCTGCATTAGTTTTAAACTACTGAAACTAACAGGGCAGTGTAGAGTTAATAGATATCAATTTCCTAGAAAACAAAATCTAAACAAGATGGATATTTTAGCTGTCACAAACAAGAGCGCTGAATTTCAATGTTTTCAGCTTAGTAATGTTTTGATCAGCTCTTAAAAATCAGATGAAACCATACAATTGATTATTCTTATTCACAAATTCTTTATTTATGAATTTGCCTACTGTTAAATTTTATTTTTAACAAAAAAATTAATATTCATGGTGCTTTCACAATTATCCGTAAACATGCAGAGAGCAGCAAAAAAAGAAAAAAAAAGAAAACCTGTTGTGCAATACATGTTCCCAGCAGAGGTTTCAGTATTTGCTAATTCAGTGTTCACGATGACTTTATTGAAGATAACTAGTGCCAATAATGAGAATCCTTGTAGTTATGTGTATAAGGTTCCTTCGTGCTAATTATTTTATTGCAGGTTTTATCTTGGCATCTAAATTATTACAGTTTTACTACCATACAAGAGTGGAACTAATTGTTTTATAAAGTATGTTAATAAGTTAATATAGTAACAATAAACAAGAAACATGAAAAAGGTGGAAAAATCTTACCCCATGAGGTCAAGAATTCTGCAGCATATCTATAAATTCGATTTAGAATTTCAATCACAACAGCATAAATTATGCTAGGCATGTATAATATCAAGGCGCTTAATTCATTTTGGTTCTCTTCATAATATAAACGTGCTTGGAATTCCAAGTCAAAATAAATCATCATTATTTGAAGTGAAAAGCAGAGACAAAGGCACACAAATGGAACTGAAACAAAATAAATCCGCAATTGTCTTTTGAAACTGGAATATATTGGTTCTTCTCTGCCAGTGACAGGATTGATACCTAAAACCCCATGAAATCCTGGTCTTGGTTCTTCAAATTGTCGCTTCATCATTAGTGTTCCCCATCTGTAAGCCATAACAGCACAAGATCGTTTCCAGAGTTCAAGGATAACAGTAGACCACAGCAGATTGAATGCTGCAAATAGCACATACTTGTCATAATCTTCCCAATCAAAAACATAATAAGGGATCCCAATGACTGCCATTGGAATTAAAGCAAATGTGATATATTCCAAAAAGGCAAAATAGAAAGCAAGTGTTTCACCAAAATAACAGCGAATTTCATCTGTGAGAGGGAAAAAAAAATATCATTCAGTAGGTAGCAATAACTAACCAACCAGGTGCAGGCCCAGAAGCTAAATAAGGTTAGTCTTCAGTGAATTTATACAACATATAATGAATCTATTTATAAAACTTCATCTCACGATTTTCCTAACTCAAGTCAAGACAAGACAAGACAAATACTCATTTCCCAAAATGGAAATAGGGTCCCATTTACAAAGCCATATTGCTCTATCTCTGGTATATATTTCAGTTATCAGGTATATTCAATCTCAAACATTTTCTCACTATTTAATATTTGTAGCAAAAAATCCTTCATTTCCCTCTGTGAATATCCATTTTTTATTTGTTAATTATACTAAAAAATACAAAAGAATACACCTATACCCATATGTAGTATCAGAAAAGAATCAAATCAATAAGCCAGTATTCCCTCAATTGCTTCTTGCACACAGGCCGTATATGGTCTTGAATTTAGACTAGAATAGAATATAATACTTTATTGGCCAAGTGTGATTGGACACCGAAGGAATTTGTCTTTGGTGCATAAGCTCTCAGTGTACATAAAGAAAAAATAAAATACATTCATCAAGAATCATAAGATATAACACTTAATGATAGTCATAGGTTACTAATAAGCAATCAAATCATAATACAGAACAAATAAAATAATATAAATTGTACGATACAAGCATCACGGTTATAGTTATAAGTTGGAAGAGATAGGTTATAGCAAGGATGAGAAAAATAATAGTAATATAGTCTTATTAAATAATTTGACAGTGTTATAGGAATTAGTTGTTTAGCAGAGTGATGGCATTTAGGAAAAAACTGTCCTTGTGTCTAGTTGTTCTGATGTGCAGTGCCTTATAGCATCATTTTGAGGGTAGAAGTTCAAACCATTTATGTCCAGGATGTGAAGGGTCTGTAGATATTTTCACAGCCCTCTCGTGCAGTATACAGGTCCTCAATGGAAGGCAGGTTGGTAGCAATTTGTTTTTTCTGAAGTTCTAATTATCTGTTGAAGTCTGTCTGTGTCTGTCTTGTTTGGTTGCAGAGCCAAACTAGACCATTATAGAGATGCAGATGACAGACTCATTAATTCCTCTGTAGAACTGAATCAGTAGCTCTTTGGGCAATTTGAGCTTTCTGAGTTGGCGCAGAAAGAACATTCTTTGTTGTGCTTTTTTTATGACGTTTTTGATGTTAGATGTCCATTTTAAGTCTTGAGATATAATAGAACCTAGAAACTTGAAGATCTCTATTGTTGATACTGTGTTGTCTAGCGTTGTAAGAGGTGGGTTTTCCTAAAATTTACCATCATTTCTACGTTTTTCAGTGTATTTAATTCAAGATTGTTCTGGTTGCACCACAAGGCTAGTTGTTCAACCTCCTGTCTGTATGAAGATTCATCATTGTCCAGAATGAGAACAATCACTAAGGGGTGGGATGCTACTGGTTCTGCCCGGTTCTAAAGAACCGGTAACTCTGAAGAGCAGCAGACACCAAACTGGTTCTGTGTTTGCTGCTGTTTGGCCCAGCCAGCTCTAACTTGTCCTTTATTTCCTGCTTTTTCAACCTCAGCTGCTTTGCGCGGCACAGATGAGGTTGAAAAAGCAGGAAAAAAGAGGCTTTTCAAATGCTGTGCACCCACGTGCGCTTTTCAGCTGTCCAGGTGGCACAGCTTAAGGTTTTTTTACACGCACGCCCACAAAACTTAGTCACCGAACCAGTAGTAACACTGGTTGAATCCCACCCCTGCAATCACTGTGGTATCATCTGCAAACTTCAGAATTTCAACAGAGGGATCCTTTGAGATGCAGTCATTGGTATATAGAGTGAAGTGGAGAGAACACACAGCCCTGGGGGATGCCTGTGCTAATTGTACAAGTATCTTATGTGATTTTGCCTAGCTTTACCTGCTGCTTCCTGTCTGTTAGGAAGCTTATGATCCATTTGCAAGTATGGCCAGATAAAGCTAGCTGATTTAGTTTAGTTAGGAGAATATCTGGAATGATGGTATTAAATGCTGAGCTGAAGTCTACAAAGGGGACCCTTGCATAAGTCTTTGGAGATTCAAGATGTTATAGAATGTAGTGAAGAGTCATATTAACAGCATCATGTTGATCTATTTGCTCGGTAGGCAAATTGCAAGGAGTCTAACAGCGAATCCGTGATTGTTTTCAGGTCGGCCCGCACTAGTCTTTCAAAGGTCTTCATAACTACAGATGTTAGAGCAACCAATCTGAAGTCATTCTTCGATGGAAGGTTTCTTCAGCACTGGGATGATAGTAGAGCATTTGAAGCAAGGAGGAACATAGCACATCTCTAGTGATTTATTAAAGATGTGGGTGAAGAGGGGGGCCACTTGGTCAGCACAAGCTTTTGAGCAAGGAGGAATTATCTTGTTTGGGCCTGGTGCTTTTCCTGGCTTTTGTCTGTGAAATACACCTTGCACCTTGTTCTCTGTAATCACCAGAGGTGGTGGGCCCAATGGAATTGGGTAGGGTGCAGGAGGCTTGGCTGTTGTTGGTGTGTCTTGAGATGGGGACTGTGGAGATGGATGGCAATAGTTTCCTCTCAAACCTACAGTAAGGCACACTTAGGTCATCTGCCAGTTGTTGACTTCCTTCAGCATGGGAAGGAGGTTTGCTATAACTGGTGATATTGTTTAAGAGTTTTCAACATGTTTGCTGGTTCATTTGTTGAGAACCGATTCCTTAGTTTTTCAGAGCAGCTTTTTTGCTGCTCTGATCTCCCTTGTTTCTAGCCTGATTGTACAGTATTCTATCACCTTTTCTGTAGATGTCCTCTTTGGAACAATGTAGCTGCTTAAGTGTAGCTGTGAACCAAGGTTTATTGTTACTGTATATTCTCAGGTTTCTGGTTGGCACATATAGGTCTTCACAAAAACTGACATATGACGTTACAGTATCTGTGAGTTCATCCAACTCTGCAGAGATACTTTGAACACAGTCCAATCACTGCAGTCAAGACAAGCCTGTAGCTTTAGCTTTGCCTCCTCATTCCAAGTCCTCACTGATTTAATTGGTTTCATGGTTTTAAGTTTTTGTCTGTAGGCAGGTACAACGTGAATCATGCAGTGACCAGAGTGTTCCACAGCTGCTCTTGGTAAAGACCTATAAGCATCTTTTATTGTTGTGTAGCAATGGTCTAAAGTATTTTTGTCTCTGGTGAGACGGTTGACATTTCGGTAGCTCTTTCCTTAAGTTTGCTTTATTTAGATCTCCTAAAATAATTTGAAATGAATCTGGGTATTTAACTTCAGCCCACATAATCTGGTCAGCTAGAGTTCATAATGCATTGTTTACAAAAGCTTGTGGAGGAACATATACAGCAATCAGGAGAAATGAGGAGAACTCTCGTGGAGAATAGAATGGTTTGCAATTGATAATTAATGTCTCTAAATTCTCAGAATTTCTTTAGTATAGTTATATCTCTGGACAAGTGGCTGTTTATATAAAAATATACTCCGTTCTTTTTACTAGATGTTTCTTCAATTCTGTCTGCTCTATATAATTGAAATTCTGGGATATTTAGGCTGCTATTATCAATTGACGCATTTAGTCAGGTTTCAGTGAAGCAGCAAGCCACTGAGTTGTAAAAATCAGAATTGCATCTATTTAAAAGAAATATTTCATCCATCTTATTAGCAAGTGAATGTAAATTAGTCAGAAAGAGTGAAGGGAGAAGGTTTTTAATTCCACATTTCCTTAGTCTATTCAAAATTCCAGCTCGTTTACCCCTTCTTCTTCTTCACCTCCGGAGACTCCATTTGCTTTTGTTTATCTATTGTTCAAAGGAAATTGTTTCTTCCTATGTTAAGAACTCTTCTGCATTTGTAAAGACAGGGGGAGGGAGTGAAGTCACAGAAAGCCTGCGCATCAGACAAATGTTGCTTGATGCTTACTAGTTGGTCTCTTGTGTATGAAATCCAGAGAATCACAGAGAATTATAAAAAACAAAAAAACTATCAGACAGCATTTCACCAAGATCGCCGTCCATGGCGCCATCTTGGAATAACAATAAATAATTAAATAATTTGCATTTAACATGCAGTCTTATGCTTTGTGAATCTGAAGCTCCTAATAATTACAAAATTTATACAAATCCAAGTCTTTTTTTCCAGAATCAGTAATGTCAACTTACCTAAAGGTTGGTATCTAATTTTTAATTGTTCGTACCATATCTGCCCAAGTTTTTTTAAATGGTCTGGGTCATGAAGTGGAAAAACCTGAAGTAGAATGCCATTAGTTGTTAGCCTTCGCACTGAAATAAATAAAAAAGTTATGTTCTGAAGATCTTATTTATAAATAAAGTCCATTTTCCCAATCTCATATAAGACTACATATATCATCAAACATTCCAATAGCAATATACAGATGTAGGCTTTCACACTTGGTATCTGTTACAATCAGACAGTGTTGGACTTCAGGGTTTAGTGACTCTGGTCTAGAACCCTCAACACTCTATACTTTGTATAGTTCAGAAAAGCCAATGGGGTATTACACATGTGACTATTAAAATAGGAGCCCACTCAGACCATTTAGTTCCTCACTTTGCTTCTGAAAAAGTCAGCCACTGTTGTCAGTGAAATGTCAGGAAAACTGTTCTAAATACCACAGTCACTAAATCCTGAAGCCCAATACTGTCCATTCCAATAGTAGTTATCAGTCATGCTCCAAAAACCTAGAAAGGCACACTGAAGTTCTTCTAAGCAGTTTCCTTTATTGATCTATAGTTAGAAATCTTGCTAAACTAAAGCAGATCACTCACACCATTAAATATATACTCTGAGAACTCCTAGGGTGGAGCCATTTTAACTCTTCCACACAAACTATCTAATCTTCCCTTTTGTTTCTCTTCCTGAGAATCTAGATTATATTGTATCACATCATCTTAACATGGCATTAAGCATTTAGCACAGTGATCAGAGTGGGGAAGAACTTCCCTTTCACTGAATGTCTTCAGACAGAGATGGTATAGCTATTTATCAGGACTGTTTTAATTTGAATTCTTGTATTGGATGGAGCGTAGGGCAGGGATATCAAACTGGATTTCTTCAAGGGCTGGATTAGCATTGTAGGTTTTTGAGCTGTTTTACAGCTGTTTTGAGCCCATTTGGGCGCCATTTTTTCAGCCTGTTTTTGGGCCGGTTTCTGCCGGCAGAATGCTGCTGGAGGCTATGGAGGGGAAAACAAGGTGCGTGGAGGGAGTGGTCCATTTTAGTCGCCAGGAGCTAAATATTTCCAGGCCAACCCTGTGGGCCTTGGGTTTGACACCCCTGGTGTAGGGGATTAATGACTTAAATGATTTCTTCCAATTCTATGATTCTAAAGAAATCATAAATATTTTAGTACTACATCCAAAATGTCATGCATGATGACATCAATATTGACAAGCCAGTTTTTACACTGTATATAATTGGTCCTCAATTTACAAGTTGGAATTAAAATTTCCTTTACTAAGCAAGAAAATAAAGTGATTCGCACCCAATTTTACAACATTTTTTTACCATGCTTGTTAAGGAATCACTGCAGTTCTTCAATGATTCATGGAGTCATTAAGCAAATCTGGCTTCCCACATTGACACTGTCAGAAGCCAACTAGGAAGGTTGCAAATAGTGATCACATGATGCCAAGATGCTACAACCATCATAAATACATGCTAGCTGCCAACCATTCAAATTTTGATAATGTGAGCATGGGGACGTCATGATTGCCATATGCATGAGGATTGGTTGTAAGTCATTTTTCAATGCTGTTATAACTCTGAATAAACAAATGGCTAAACAAATGGTTATATATTGACAATTATCTGTACTACATTTTATCTCTCTAAATTTAAAATTGAAGTCTATTCTGGTTAATTAACTAACAAATTGAACTCTACAAGCATTTAAAGTTGTATGTTTCATATTTTTAAAAATTTCTCACATGATGCAATTTTTTTTGAAAAATTAGATGACATTTTATCATTTCATCAAAAAAATGATAACTAGGGAAAATTATGCCAATACTATTAATGAAATACAGGGAAGCAGAATGAATATGTATTTATGCTGTTATACTATACTGTTACTGTTTTTTTCACAATAACCCTGTGATATGAGTTGGGCTAAGAAAAAGTGGCCCAACGTCACCCTAGCTGTCATGAGTGAGGCAGGATTAGTCTAGTCTGGGTCCTTAACCACTAGACCAAACTAGCTTCTAGTCTATCAGGTTTTAATCTAGCCTCAACCAATGTTGTTCATAATTATTTGGTACCGAGGCCATAGGATAGAGAAGGAAGGGGGGATGACAGCTGTAATGCAGGAACCTTTTTGGGTCATCAAGGGCCATGGTCTCCAAGTTTCCACATGTGAGATTATTGTTTGAGACTGGGCTTGCAGGATCAGTTGGAATTAATTGTTATACTAGCCACCCTCTTTTTTAACAACCTGCTTGTCAACCTCAGGTTTGGCAGTAGAATTCCCCAGGCTTATGGTCCTCAGGACTTCAATCAGTTATCCTTTGGGATGGCTTCAGAAGCCAGAGCACTGCTAGAGGAAAACAAAGAACAAATCCAACCAAACAAAGATCAGAGCTGCTATTAAGGCCTAACTTGTGGTAGTAAGAACATTAAATGCCAGTATTTCTTCATATTTACTGAATTCACAGAGTGTCACCCAATGGCCTTGTTCAAAGTCACCCAGTTCTTCCTTAAGGAGAGCTTGGATATCTTCTTCAGGATTACATGGAGGAGTTTGTGCAACACCTGACAGATAAAATTGCTCAAATTCGCTCTCGGTTGGAGTTCAAGCATGGTGCAAGTCCATTACAGATACCCTGGGAATGGTCTTACCCTGTTATTATCTCAAAAAAGTTTTGATTCTTTTGGACTTGAGTAAGAGGACAGATGCTTTAAAACTGTCAGTATATCTACTTGTTTTTTAGATCCTTGCCCCTTTTGGATATTGAAAACCTCTGAGATACTGACTTCTGAGTAGTAGCATGCAATGATTAATGCATCATTGTAGCATAGGGTATACTTTTCCTGATACCTTTTTCAGGAAGCTGTGGTTCTCCCCCTCCTTAAAAAAACATAATTACACCCCCAACTTTTGGCAATTTTTCCCATCTTCCCTTTCTAGGAAAGATGGTGGGAAAAGTGGCTGTGCTGCAGCTTCAAAGGGTCCTGGATGAAATGGATTATCTGAACTTTTTTTCAGTTGGGTTTCAGGTTATGAGACAGAAAGGCATTGTTATGCCTGCTGATGGTCTCTGGCAGGAGCAGGGTATGGATAGTGCATCCATCCTTGCTCTCCTTGACTTCTAGGTGACTTTCGTACCATTAACCATGGTATCATTTGGAATGGCTGCAGGATTTGAGATTGGGTGGAACAGTATTGTACTAGTTCAGTTCCTTTCTCCATGGTCAGTTTCAATTGTGCGATAAATGCAAGAAACCCAGCCCATGGCCACTGTTGCAGAGCTCAGCACACTCTCTGCTCCTTTTTAATATCTACACGTAATCACTAGGTGAGATCATCCAGCACAACAGGATGGGATATCACCAATATGCTGATAATAATCCGCTTTACATCTCCAATTCTAGTAACCCGAGTTGATGCTGTGGCTGTCTTTTCATGGTATTTAGAGGATATAGTGACCTGGATGTGAGATAACAGGCTTCAGTTGAACTCTGGTAAAATGGTATGGCTGTGGGTATGAAGAGCCTTGGAGATTTATCATCTTTAGTTCTGGATGGGGTAGCACCTGGTGCATAACTGGGGGTTTCCTTAGACTTGCAAATCCTATTGAAATAGCAGGCCTGGAAATAATAAAGCAGCAAATAACAGCTATAACCAACTAGATCAGCAGAAAAGAAGTTTGAATTGCTAATTATAGGCAGGATCCAATTTCAATCCAATCTGAAATGTTTCTACCAATCCATCAATTGAGAGGCTGCAGTGAATCAGTCAGTATATGACAAGGAAGAAACAGTATAATTCTGAGTGCAGATATGGGATAACTCAAAGAAATACAACAAGAATGCAGCTTGGTTAACGGATGTGGATAAGATTAAAAAAATAAACTGAAATGAAAGAACTAGTAGTAACAGCAGAAATGGTAGAGAAAAGAGCAAGGAAGATCAAGAATTGGTCAGCACCAGTGAATATGAATTACATGATTTTTGATTGAAACATCTAACTAGTCTACATCCATTCATTGCTAAACAATTTAACAACATACTGCAAATTGAAGAGTAGCTAACATCTGGAAAAGCCTACTTGATAATGAAAGATACAGCAAAGGAGGCAGCACCAGGTAACTACAAGCCAATTACCTCTTTATCAACAACTTTTAAATTGCTAACTGATAACTGGTGCTGTCCAATAGCATCTAGTTGAAAACAATCTCTTTCCATCTGAGCAGAAAGCAAACTGCTCCAATAGCAGAGGAACAAACAGTAAATTCCTAATTGACAAAATGATTTTAGAAAACTGCAAGAAAAGGAAGACCAACATGAATGTAGCATGGATTGATTACAAAAAGGCATTTGACACTGTCATATGACTGGATAATCAAGTGTCTAAAAATAACAGGAGTCAGTAGAAAAATCAAAAGCTTTGTACAAAGATCAATGGTACAAATAGAAGACACAGTTGCAGATCAATGGTGTCAGACTGGGAGATGTTAATATCAAGAGAGGAATATTTCAAGGAGATTCACTGACACTGTCATTGCACTGTTTCCTCTGTTAACAATACTGAATAATTCAGGCCATGGCTATCAAACATCAAAAATATTTGCCAGACTATCAACTTCCTTTAGATCAGGGGTGTCCAACCTTTCACCTTCCCTGGGCCACATTAGAAGATGAAAATTTGGTTTGGGCCGCACATAAAATAAAATAACAGTAACGATACCTGATCATCCCAAAAAAACATAGGAAACATAGTTAACATATTAAATTTATTTGGAAATGAAGTTAGTGAGATGTTTTTATTATTTATTATTAATTATTTATTAAAAATTATTTATTTTTTATCACGGTTTTTTTATCACAGTT